TTTTGTAACCGGAAAATTTTATTACCAAAAAATGTTACCAGTTCTGGACACCGCGGTTCTAGGTACGATGGTTATCCAGTTAATATATTCAGCAATTCAGCTATGAAGAATTGTGGAATTTCTAGCATTGCATATTTCACGGGGAAATATTTTGTTACCAGTTTATGAGATGGTAACAAAATTTACTGATTATAAGACTACACAGAATGCGAAAAGGGTTTAAAAATTTACAGGAACTTTATTTACCGGTTACAAAATTTTTATTACCAGCGCAGAATAGACCTGTTAAGACTTAAAAATTCTTAAAGCTCAGTTATGCAAGACTTAAGACTTGATTTTCGTTGTTGGTGTTTCCGACAGGGTAGGAGTATGATGTAATGTGGAACGATTTTCCGTCATCCCTTGTCAAATTTGGTTTGGAGACAAACCGGTTTCGGCGTTGTGCCATCTTCAGTGTCACTTTTCGTTCTGAATAGTTTCTGTTTGTTTGTCACTATTTATAGCCGTGTTAAATCGTCGATGGTTCATAGTTAGGTACGTCTCAGCGGATTATATTCTTTCGTTCAACCAGTAGTTTCAGTTCTGTGTGTACATCCTCAGGTAGAAATTAGCTTTTCACCTCTTTTTTGATTAATTGTTGCAAATTGTTGTTTTGATTGTTGTTGTTGTTAATTGTTACCTGCGAATCCATGCAATGAATACAATACCTACAAATATGCCTCACATATATAATTTTTTGTATAAATCTAATTCATCTGGCAATCGAAAAACAAATTTTCAATAAAGACAGAAAATAGAGTAAAAACAATAACAATTTGATAATGGTAATTTGGCATCCATTTTGGAGTAAAATACCAAATTAAACGTTTACAATTTTACGTGTACAAATACAAGTGCTGAGGATCAAAATAAAGAGAAAATGTAATAGATGACACGCTGGATAGTCGTTTCTAAGTTTCTAGGTAAGTCAAGTCAAGTCTAAGCATTTAATTCGTTAGCGCTGCTTTTCTCTGCGGGCAATGAGGCATAATGGGAAATAACCAATTATCGCAATCACTTTTATGGCAAGCAGACATGCATACAATTTTGGTATTTTTTGAAAAATTTTAATTTTTAATATTTTAGGGAATATAAATTTTGAACGTTATTCAAAGCAAGTTTTTGCCTCTTTCTGATTGGCTGAAGCATAAAACTTTCTAATGCTGAATGGCAATGCCTCTAGCCCAATATACAAGCCAAGATAGCTTTTCGTAAGCCAATATAATTATGTTGGGTAATATTACGTTCAAATTGGCCCCATTTAACTTGTTAAATGAAAAAGAGCTTTTTGGAAAACACAATCGTCCACATTGAACATTTGGAGTTAACTTTGACGTTTGTTTGATTATCAATAAAAATTCGAAAAAAAAATATTAAAAATCAAGTTTTTGTGTTTCAATTTGTTTTGTGCGAATGTCTGCT